CCCCCCCCCCCCCCCCCCCTTCCACACTAAATGAAAGGGTAAGATCCTAAACTTAAGTTTCTCTAAATGATCACGGGACAAGTTCACGTGCAAATGGGCTATGCCATTGTGTAGGAGAAGCATGACAGACCAGAAGCATTATGGCCCATTAGATATGGGCTTCCTTAAATAGGCCGAGACTCTTCAACTTTACTCTCAAATATATAGCCCTAGTCTGGTTCAGTTAAAAAAGTAAAAAACTGTAATATTAAATTCAGTTTGAGTTATATTAAATTTTAATCATATATTTTTAAGTCAAACTCATGGAATTCACAATTTTTTAATCATATAATTTATCAGAATCTATTAAAAAATAATTTTTTTTATCTAAACCAAACAGGGACATACTATAAAATAAAAATATTTCCAAAAATGCTTTTCATAAACTTCTTACAAAGAAGATACTAAAAAATACAAAAATAACCAGTAAAGTAATAGAATCCGATTTCAGAATTCAGTATTTAATTTTTTATTAGCATTCAAGTTGGTAGCTGAAATATTTGATCAAACAAAATATAATAAATACTATAATTAACTCTCCATTAATTAACATTAACATTTATTTAATTAATATTAATTACAACTTCAAATTCAATTATACATTTCATTATTCACGTTCATATATGCTAATTAGCATCCAATTTCACTTGATTGGAAATCTAATTATATCAATTTAATATAAATGATTTAATATTCACTATCACATATATATTCCCTGGTATTATTTCTAAATTAATTAACACTCGCGTTAATTTGTGTATCGTATTTGTCATCCATTTTCATTTATGCATTTAATTGTGATTATGATACTCACATTCAAGTATTTATTTTACTATTTACGTGCTTGTATAATAATTAATATTTATTTTCGGTGATTTGTATTTATCTTATATTTAGAGCAAAAGCATAAATGAATGGTCAATATTAATTTTACGATACTGATAAAATATTTTTGAATAACGTGCAACGTTGATTCGGACTAGTGTTATTAAAAGTACAAAATGCAAAATAATTTTCTGTGTCATTTTTCAATAGCTTTTTTCTACACCCAAAAAACCTCTCTATCTCCATAATTTGTCCCCTTTTTATCCCCTCATCTCTGAAGCATATAACGTGGCCAGCTGTTTGGCAACCAAGAGCATATTTGTAAATGACTAATGTTCAATCTTGACCACCAGATCATCAAGAGTTGGCAATAGAATATGTGTATAAAAAAAAGGTTGAACTTCAACCTTGAGGGCTCCCCCGCCCCGCTCTTAGAGTATCGTGGAGGAGGTAAATCGAGAAATGTGTCTCATCAGGTCAGGGTATAAAAGCCGTCATACTAGTGCCCACAATGAATCAAATTTCATACCTTGTAAGAGGCAGAAATCAATCTCTCACACTGCGATTGCCAGCTCAAATGAGATTACTTTACTCTTGTCTTTTACACCACTGAGAGCAATAGAATATGTGTATAGACTAGTGGCAAAGGAGTCATAGTGGTGCAAGCTGTGGTATTCCTCATCCAATGTGTTGGCGCCATTGCAATTGCTTACAACAGAAAAAAATATTAATTTCTCGTTTATGCTTAGGTAAGTTAATATACATCCCAATTTTATTGAACAATAAATAAGTTGGATTCATTACCTATTAAATTGTTTCTGAATGCATATGGTGCTAACGCAACATTACTCGTACATAATACTATATCGAAAGGTAACTTTTGGTTTTTTTTTTTTTTCCTCCTAATTTTCACCAAGGTGGGACCGGGAGTGGGGGTGGGGGAGGTAGAGGGGTTAAGTTGAGCTGGCAAGCTCGTGCAGGCAAGAAATGATGCTGACGTCGTGAGGAATGTGCAGAAAGAAATTTTGTGAATCTCAAAGGATGCCTCTTCCTTCCTTCTCAAATGAATGATTAGGCTCACGTGCTTATCACATGTCCAACGTACATTGGACATGTGATGATCACGTGTGCTTAAGTAACGGACCGATTAAAATTGGTTGGGCTAATTCAGTCCATTTGTTTTTGAAAGCCTTACAAAAAAGGCTTATAAATGGGCCACGTTGGGGAAAAGCCCAGTCTATATTTAGGCGTAACACCACTATTCTCTCCAGCCCAAACGACAATTAAAGGGGAAAAAAATCATAAATCAGGTGTATANAAATAATCATAAATCAGGTGTATAGTTTACAGCAATTCACAAATCAGGTTTATAGTTTGAAAATTCAAAATTCAATCTTATATATAATTAATTAAATATAATAAAGGCACATTTATACAATTAATGGTCATAGATACAAAATTACAGGTCACAATTTATTTATTGGTCATATATTATTAAATTAATTAGTCACAATTTATTTATCGATCACAGATTTTTAAATTGGTTAGTCACGGATTATTTTTGAATCACATATTACTAAATTTTTAGGTCACAATTGAGTAACTAGTCACAAATTACCAAATCTTTGATCAAATAGTAGGTCACATATAACCAAGTAATTGGTCACACACACTAAATAGTGGTTACACACCACCGTCACCAACACTACCATCACTGCATCCACCCGTCTTCTTCGTAGCTAGATCCACCACCATCCCCGTTACTGTCGCCACCACCACGACGCACCACCACTGACACCAACACCACATCACCACCACAAAATCGTCGCTCCACAACCACCACCACTATTCCACTACCACTACCACTACCACCATTAACAAACTACGTCACACCACAACCACCATCCAACAAAAAATTTCAAACCCGTCACTATCACCACACACCCATATATCCACCACCCCAACAAAAATCCATTGTAGATCGTCGTTGCAGTTGTAGATCGTGCACAGAGGCTCCAGTGCAGATTGTCGTAAAGCGTTGCTGCTGCGTCTCCGCGCGAAGAGGCTCCGATCTGCTTCCATGGTGATGACGGCGCGACGCGGCTTCCTCGACGTCACGCCATTTACAGAGAGGGCCGGGGAGGGGAAAGGGAGGCGAGAGAGTGAGTGAGTGATAAATTAGGGTTATCAATTAGATATTAATATAATACCTGATTTTTGAATAAATAATCTTTAGATTTGATCTTTGAAAAGCAAATTTTAAATACCTGGATTTATGTAATTTTCCCATTAACATATGTTCATTTCCAGGCCTACTACTAACAAACAGTAGTCATTTAGCACTTTTGAAAAGTCAAAAATTAATTTTAAAATTAAAAAAAAAATTTAAATATGTTTGAATAACTTTTTAAAAGTTTTTTATTGGACTAGAAGAGTTTTAGAAGAAATTAACATTAGGTAACTTCTTCGGAAAATTTCTATAAGAAGTAGAAGCAAAAATAGAAAGACATGCCAAATAGACTCTTAGTAATAACTTATTACTTAAATTTAAGCTCAGCGAAAGACGCTTGATTTCTGCACACATGCTCCTTAGTCACTCTTTTCCCAAATGTCAGATACCTGAATCAATTGAGGAGCAAAGTGAAGTCACCCTTACAGAATTGTAGGATTTACAAGTTCGAAAATTCTTCATACCAAACATATATATGATGCTGCTGGGTATCAGATGCATGATGTTACGAGTTAAGTGAAGCAACCGGAAATGCTTCAATTCCTGCCCTTTCCATGATCTTTCTCTGGTCAAATGCAACAAAAACAAAAGATAATTACGCTCTCGAAAAGTTCATGGTATCTATGAACTACGAAAAAGAGCATACTTGATATGCAGTATGGATTGAATACGATACAATACGGATAATTTTTATTTCTTTCTTTTTCTTAATAATTAATAATGTTTAATCCAGTCCACCTTTGCCATTAGGGTCCGCATCATATGACAACTATGAATTTGTTTTCCAAGTAATATAATTACAGTAAATTCCTAACACAACAAGAACACAATATAAGGGCATGGTTGGTAGGCTTGACTCGACAATATAAGGAAGGAGGAGTTAAAATCTTGTTGGTTATTTTGTCGAGTACTATCTCATATTATGCACCAAACATGACCAAAATGAAACGCTCATATGGAATCAGTAATGTAATACTCCTTCCATGTTTTGAACATTGGGGTCACGCTATATTTATTTTATTTGTCAAATAAAATATAAATATCCAGATCTACATCGATCATCATGTGTGGGGAGAAATTTAACATCGTATTTTTGTCGTTTGTGTGGGAGTTTAACTTAAAAAAAAAAAAAAGCACTGCTGCAATCATCAACTAAATAAAACTCATGATCTACTTGTATTTTGACGAAAACCTAAATAAGTTTTGAAATAAATAATCTTTTTATTGGTTTCAGGCCATGAAGAAGCTGAAGGTTTAAAATAAAGGTGTAGGTCGGCATATCCATGATTGGGCACTTCAAATGTTTGGGAAATAAGTCACTTACTTTGACACTAATGTTAGAGTTAATTTCAAAGTAACAATCTTTTATACTTAAATAAGTAACATATCCAAACATTTTTGGAATCAAAACTTTGTTTTACTTATTATAAGCATAGCCAAACATGTGTATAATATTTAGACTCGAGCTGTCAAAAAGAGGTCCATTTACTATCATCTTAACAACAGAAAGTAATAAAATATATGTTGATGACATTGATACGACACAGAAAACACCTTCTCCACCTCATTTTCATGATTTATCAAAAAGCCAAACAGTCCAAACAATGGATTACATGCATTGGTAGACACTAAAATTTGGACTATGCTACACGTATCAAATTTTTTTACCAAATCTTTTACACCTCACTCACAATAGGAGGTGGGGGCCACGGGTCGGCATTATTTAATATGTGCGGGGGCTGCGCCTCATGTGAGAGGAGGGACTTCATTCGATAGTCCCTCCTTGGTACAAGATGATTAATCCCTAAAATTTTAGTGAAATCTTGTCACTTAACTTCACTTGGTCAAGTAGATCATTGTACTTTGTTACAACGAGATCACTAAATTTTAAAGTTTGTTATAATTTGATCATT